CCCCCCCCCCCCCCCCACCCCCCAACGCTTGCTACGTATTTATTGCTCCCTTGGTCGTTCTTGCACGTTCCTAGCCAACCAGCGGGGACAACGACCCAAGCTGAGCAGTGAAGAGTTGAGCGAGTACGCTGCGGCCATAAACCCTTGTCTAAGTCAAAGTGAGGCTGGGCCTGAATTGAGCGGAGGAGTCGATGTTCCATTCTGATTGACTTTATGTTGGATCTCTAACTAGAACAACGTAGCTCAGAGCCCGGAAACTGCCCATATGTGGACTCTGATGACAGATCTCCCGCCTCCCTCCCTTCCTCTGTGGTGCTGGGGTTTTGTGGTTGTTGTTCCTCCGGTACTCTGTTGTAGCTGTAGGCAGGAATGCCTTGATGGGAACCGCCTGTGGCTCCCACTTGTGGCGTAGATCGACTGGAAGCCACAGCCTGCGTGGTAGTTGTGCACCTGTATATCCTGTAGTCATGTCGCTGCACCAAACACATAGCCCGTGTCTCGAGGAAACTCGTATGCCAGCAAGGATAGGGCTCTCATATTATAGAATACTTCTTAAACAATTTTTTTTTTTAACTCGGTCCTACTGCTCCAAAGTTACGGTTTGGAGGGGGGGAGGGTGTTATGTCACTGAATACAGCAAAGCATTTTTGCATTGTCAAACTCTGGATGAGGTTTTGGGGAGGGGGGGGGGGATAGGGTGACCTTGTACCCCTCCTGTTGCACAAAAACAGAAATTGCTGTAATGACTTCCCTGGTCGAATCAGATGTACAGATGTCCTGTCTGAAGTCAGGGAATGTCCCATGTACAACTGTACAGCCTATGGTACAACTGTACAGCCTATGGTACAACTGTATCTCGTTGAGGACAGCTGTAGTGTGTGGTCACTTGTCGTTGAGGACAGCTGTAGTGTGTGGTCACTTGTCGTTGAGGACAGCTGTAGTGTGTCATCACTTGTCGTTGAGGACAGCTGTAGTGTGTCATCACTTGTCGTTGAGGACAGCTGTAGTGTGAGAGTCCCTCGCTGGGAGCCATCACCTCGGCTGTGGGAGCTACGTGTTCAGTGGTTCCATTGGCTCGTCCATTGTCTGCAGGAAGTGTCTATAGAGGGAAAACAAACACACAAAGGGATTCAAATGTTATGTTTGTATCATACGCTGCGTTCTGCTGACATGGAGTCATGGAGTGGATTTTTCTTTCTTTCAACAGCGCTTGTCAATTGTGGCAGTCTGCGAGGACTTAGTGTACATGTAGAAAGATGCTTAAGGTTTATGATGTTTGTGTCAGAGGAAGGGTTGTTACAATAAATCCTTGTCCAGTTTGGGAGAGCTGATGCCTACCTGCTTCTCCTGCTGTCCCTAAAATTGTTTGTATTGTCTTGTTTCCAGCTGGCCTTGAACTGTAACTTTGTGTGGTTTGGGAATTTTTGGTCAATCTATCGTTGGAAATCACAGGTCTATAGGTGTCAGTGTCAGCGTTCACAGGTCTATAGGTGTCAGCATTCACAGGTCTATAGGTGTCAGCGTTCACAGGTCTATAGGTGTCAGTGTCAGCGTTCACAAGTCTATAGGTGTCAGCATTCACAGGTCTATAGGTGTCAGTGTCAGCATTCACAGGTCTGTGGGGTAGGTGTTGCGAGCGCCGTAAAACCCTCTACTATAAAAAAAGAAGATCTGTGGGGACTTTTCTCCTCAGTGGAACTGCGTTTTGGAAGATAATATATTACCTGTAGTCCACTTGGAGTAGGCTACCTGTTGAAGTACCTGTAGACCACTCGAAGTACCTGTAGTCCACTCGAAGTACCTGTAGTCCACTTGAAGTACCTGTAGTCCTCTTGGAGTACCTGTAGTCCACTTGGAGTACCTGTAGTCCACTTGAAGTACCTGTAGACCACTTGGAGTACCTGTAGACCATTTGGAGTACCTGTAGACCACTTGAAGTACCTGTAGACCATTTGGAGTACCTGTAGACCACTTGGAGTACCTGTAGACCACTTGGAGTACCTGTACGTGTTTGT